TTATTAAAGCTTCATATATGTATTGCATTTTATTTACATAAAATTTACAAAGAACTCAGACATTTTCAACCGGCTTCAAAAAAGGGGAGGTTATCAATTCTTCGGAGTATTTTTACTTCTTTTATTTATTCCACCGCATAACTTTGCACCGCGTGAACCGATTCCAATAATTATTTTTTGTACCGGAAAGATGGTACCTTAAGGGTCGTCTCGTAATTTGGTTTAGATCCGATCATTAAATCATGAAAAAATTAACGGTTAAAGATGCACTCAACTTTCAAAAGTAATACAAAATTTTACAAAAGAATTTTAATATAAATAAATATAATAATTTTACGAAATTTTTACACTTTTTTTTATCCATTTTCGTCGATTTCTGGTTTCTCATTTTTTAATACTTCGAATAACGAAAATTTAACTGAACTTGTATTTTTATCATGTAGCTCATTTTGGTGGAATGAGTTCAAATTTTAGCAAATTTAATCTTCGAATACTTATTAAGTATATATCAGTGGTAAAATTTTTTAGGCTGTAAAGTGTAAAAAGCAACATTACGTGAGTATGCATTGCATATTTTTAGGACAATGTTTTCATTCGCAGTTAAACTTTAAAGAGCTCTCAAGAAAAAAGAAAAATTCTTACAAAATGACGCACAAGAAATGGAAAAGAAATTTTTTTCTATCAAAATTTCTTAAATCATAATAAATTTAACCCCACAACCCACCTCTTGTGTGCGCTACGTGACAAATTTGATATGTAAGAGTAAACAGATAGTGTTTAATTTTGCACACACTAGAAGAGGAAACTGGTTACCTCTCTTTATATGCGTAAATTTAAACGAAAATTTTTTAGAGGAAATTTTAAACATTTTATGTGTAAACTGTGAAAATGTGAACAATAAATGTTTAGAACTCAAAAAACAAATTTGAAATTTGTTCTACGCCACACATATGATAAGTAAAAGAAAGCAAGCAGTGTTTAATTTAATTAACACGGTGTGTAAATTTGCATTCATTAAGAGAGGAGAAATTTAAACAAAAATTTTTTAGAGTGTAGCATTGACAAAAAACAGCCTAGTAGAGTTTTTATAGTTAAAATGAGGTAAAATTAAATCATAAGAGCGCTCAGACTTAGGAAAGATTAATTTTTCATATAAGTAAAGAGGAGTCCTTGTAGATAACAGCCTGAATAGAAATATAAAATTTCTAGCTTATAAATAATCGGTTATCTCGCAACCCAATAAGCTACATCTCCAAGCAGATATGTGGCCGAAATTTCACATGATTGAATGAAAATAAACGAATTCGAATACAAGGTACATAATTAAGAGATGACCCATCTTTTGTATTTGTATTTGTATTTATTTTGATTTTAATCCTAGCACATTAAACAAATTATTTTATAGTGCTAGTCACCATACATAATTAACTAAATCTAAGAACAAAATTAGTTTTAAATTGTAGCTAATTTTTAGATGGAATTGATTTGTAATACAATAAAAGCAACGAAAATTTTACAGAGAGGTTGCAGACAAGTTTAAAATAATAAAAAATATATATTATTTGAAGTAAGTAATTGTTTAGTTTAAAGTACATTAATTTATGTTTATACGTTATTATAAAAACGGGTTAATTCGTTTTTGAAGTGCAGTGCGTTATGTAATAGCCTAAGTCGAGTGGGGAGTGAGTTCCAAAGACGAATCGAATTTATGAAGAATTTGCGTTCAGATATAAGAAAACGATCTTTAGTATGTACTAGAAGTACTGACCCGAAGAATACAGAAATTGAAGTCTTTGATACAGATAATGAGGCTCTTTTGTGTATATAATTTTATGTAAAGTCAGTAGTGTTCTAATTTTTAACAGGTTTTCTAAGGAGATGCTAGCAACTTTTCAGCATATGATGTTACCTGATCAAGTCTTTTCAACACAAACACGTATCTTGCCATGTTGTTATAGGCAACATTTAACTTTTGCTTACAAGCAGCGTCACAATTAGCTTAATTCTCACATCCGTATAGGAGCGTAGGTATTAAGTACGCTTTGGCTAAGAGTAGTCTTATATTTAAGGGAGTGAAGTACTGCGAAAACCAGAGTGTACGGAGCATTCCATACACTTTACCTACTGTGCTAAAAATATGATCATACTATGTGAGCTTATTGTTGAAGAGCATGCCAAGATATTTGGCCGTGCTGACATATTATGACCGAATTGTCCAACTAAATTTCATCTAGCTCACTCGTTCTTAAGGAGTTTCTATGGATTACGACACAATTGGATTTGGCTGGGATCAGGCACAGACCGTTCATAGAAGCCCACTCACTTACTCGAGCTAAGTCAGAATTCAAGTTTTCAATACAAATATCAGTACGATTGGCTGGATAAAAACATATAATTGGACATCATCAGCATAAACGTGAATATTACAATACCTAAGAACATTAGGTAAGTCATTTACATACAAAATAAATAACAAAGGACCAATAATGGAGCCTTGTGGGACTCCTCTGACTACGGGAAGGAAATCAGACTTTCTGTCGCCGATACTAACTGCCTGAGTTCTGTCGCCAAGATAGGATCTTATCAATGCAGTTCCATGGCTGGAAAACTTAAATAAGTTCTCTAACTTGCTCCATAATAACATGTGGTCAACTGAATCAAAAGCCTTGGTATTGTCAAGGATAGTTAAAAAGGCAACCCTGTTTTCATCAATTTGCGACCGAATGCTTTCTACCACGTCTGGGAGGGCCGTTGTGCAGCTTCTCTTCGGCCTAAAGCCAGACTGTCGTTCAGCTAAGAGTTTATGATCTTGCATATACGAAATCATTTGCTTATGTAATATGCGCTCGACAACTTTAGACAGGAGCGGAAGAATAAGCTATAGGTCTGTACTCGTTAGTCTTCCTATGAATAGGTATTACTTTTGCAACTTTCCTGCACTTTGGAGAAGTGCAGGTAGCCAAGATGGAGTTGACGAAATAGGTTACTTGCGGCAATATTTTGGGAAGTATAATTTGGCATGGACTCCATCGAATCCTACTGCATTCGACTTAACTGAAAGTATAGCTTGAACGACATCACAATCATCAACATAAAAAAATTCAAATGGACTATCACCAACATTTAAACGAACACTGTAGTTATCTAGACAAATATTAGCTGTGGTAACAGACAGTCCAACAAAATTTTCTTTTAAATCGCAACCATGCGTGTTAGAACAGGTGTACTTTCTTTGACGTTTTGAAGTAATAATTCAGAAAAATTAAGTCGTGATTCGAGAATCTCGATGCGGGGAGTTGATTGTAGAGGAGGGATTTCTGTAGGTCATTCACAAAAAGTATATCTAATAGAGTACTGTTAGTATGGGTAAAATGCGTGGGTAGGGAGGTGTTAGTTGGGAAAAGTCCTAGAGATTCCATACTTAGTTTAAGACTTATCTTCAAGTAAGTTGCTATTGAAGTCCCCTGCAATTATAATATTACTATAGTTTTCGAGTAGAGGTTGGATGAATTCCGAAACGTCAGAAAAGTTAATATAGCGATTGGGTCGACTAGAAGTTTACTATTTTCTGAAAACACATCTATGAACACATATTCGACATATCCAGTGCCAGAGGCACAACGTAATCTACAAGACAAATAGCTTTTAACATATATTGTAACACCACCACCATGACCATGTCTATCAGCTCTGAAGAGTTCATAGCCATCCACTTTTACCATGCCATTACTATGGCATGACGAAAACCATGTCTCAGAGGTACACAAAATATCAATTACTGAATCTTCAAAGTGATATCTGAATTCGTCGATTTTTCTAAATAAACTTTGCGCATTTAGGTGAATTATCTTCAGCCCTACGGCTTGCTTGCTGAGGATGCGCAAAATAGTAAATACGTAGTCTTTGGAATCCTCCAACTTTTAGTCTGAGGTAATTATTACAAAAATACATTAAATTTAGATTTGCACTGCATTTAGATTTTAAAATTTTAGGTGTTAAGGTTAACCAGCTAGTCTTACTTAAACAATATATAATAATAACATTATAGTTTAAAAAACTAAAACCTCGCTATTATAATTTCCATTCGGACTGTCATCAGGTATGTAACTTGAGAATAGAAATCGCTGCATCTTATAGGCGCATCAATATTACATAGCTACATCCCGAGCTAACAATAATAATAGATAGGTAAAAAGATAGGACTATTTTTAAAGAAGCATAACACGTATTAGTTCTGGCATTCCTTGTGAACATCTTGGGATGGCCCACTTGGCTTTTGTGCACAACCATCACGAAAGGAGTGATCGATACTGAGGCTGATGTGTTCAAGGTCTTTGAGAGTCTCCTTAGTATGTATCACCTCGGGTCTATCATTAATTTTGCGTTTTATATAAATCAAGCCTCTCTTGATATAACCGAATGCATTTTTTTTTACGTCTTTTGAGGTGAAAAGCTGACTTCAAGATATCAGCACAATCGCTTAGTGAGCGGCTCGTTTATGTAAATGGGGGCGTCAGAGTTCATTTCCATATGCATAAGTCGTAGTCCATTTTTTTTAAGCGCCTGAAATTCGCAGCGGCTTTTAATTGCAAGTTCCTCTCGTTGGTCAGTTTGAGTGTCCTGAAGCTTCCGTGCTCGGAAGATGCTGGCTGAATTTCCAAAGTGTAACAAAGGTGATGGAAAACATTTTGTAAATTTTCACCATCTTCAATCGGGATTCCATGTACTCGCACATCGAACGCCGCAATCAGATTTTCCTGTTTAGCCATATTAAACTTTAAGGCAGCTAACTCGCCTTCGAGGATCGTTACACGATCGACAGCAGTCTCTTTAGGTCGTGTTTTATACTTTCGATTTTTTCCTCGAATTTTCGACAGAATAACTCCATAGTTCTGTTTTCAGAGTCAAGTCTTTTTCTCGCTAGCATATCATTAAATTTGGCGAAACGTTGGTCCATACTCCGAATAATGCTTGGAGAATCGCTGATACGTGGAGCTTTAGCCACTTCGGCATCATTGCATATAGCTCCACCACGTATCTTTTCAGCACCTGGAGCCACAATGCTTTGTATTTATTTATTTGTAAAGCTTGGATATACAAAGCTTTCAAGGATGCACTGCTTAGGTACAGGTGGCACTAAGTTCGGGTTTAGTGAAGACACAAACCACACGAGAAAAGCTTATACGGGACGTATGTATATGATTGTTGTTGGTGGTTTGCTTTCAACTAATTTGTCCGCACCAGAAGAAAAACAAACAGACTACGAGCATCTTTCTGACTTGCTTTTGCTTAGCAAATTAGCAGCCGCAGGAATAATCGATCTTGCACTATTATTGTGTAATAGCATTTTAGACTTGATTCTTTGGCGTAATTAGAATTTATTATCCACTTGGAACTATAATATTTTATAACTTTCGAGGACCGAAAAACTTTTGCTCATCACACACCAAGGTTGCCAACTTCTTTACACAGGAAGTTAAAGCATAACATATACATGCTTAAACTAAGAGTACACGAACATAGCATAAAAGAGAATGTAAATAACGTGTCAACAGAATTTTTGCAAATCATTTTGCTTATAAAATTTTATAGCAGATGCACCTTTGTTAACTCTAACATATGTACACAGCGCCACGCAGAGTAAATACGGAGACCAATTTTCGAGCTCTTCTTAAAGCGCAGCTACTCACGGACGTAAAAACGGAGAAGGTACCAGCTGACACGATCTATCTTATGGGATCTGCGTGTTAACAAAATCTCACCATGACCGTGATGTAGACGTTGCTTCTCTCTCTTTCTATCAACAGCACACTTGATATCTCTCTACGTCAAGGGTGGCCATTTCATAAGCACGTGTGCCAAATCATTCTCTTCTACTTTCACACGTACAAGAGAAAAACTGCGCTGCTTTCACGAAAAAATTATAGAATACAAGATTGTGCCGATTGCAGCAGAATTCGTGAGAGTAATTTTGGCGTGACGTCATCGTAGAGTTGACAACTGAGAGCGACAAATATAACTGCTCTCTAGTGATGTGCTGAATTATCGGTACCCAATACTTAAAAAAGATTTCGGTACCCAATACTTCCTTTTCGGTACGCGATACCCATCCTTTACATTAAACCTTCGCCATTATATGCATTTCAAGTTTAGAAAAAACTTTCATTACTAATTTATATGATATCGGCTAAAACACTTGAACTTATCGCAACAGAGAAATATTTTTTTAACAGTTTTAACCTTAGTCGATCCAAAATTCAAGAACAATGCTTTGATTAGCGACAAGTTTCGAACCGATATCGCACTTGTTGACGTAAAAATATTTCATATTACATACGTCAACAAAACCGATACCGATTCGAAAATTGTCCCTGAATGGTTACAGAATTTGCCCCCCAGGCAAAAATGATATCGTCCGATTCATCTGGAACAAAAATGCTTCAAACAAGTAAGAGTTTCTCTGTATTATGGCCTCGAACCGACATATATACATCTTACATTTGAATCAGTATTAACAGCTCTATTGGCTCCTACATTCGGGATTTGATAGGCGAGTCTCCCCTAAACCGTTTTTCCTTATTTTTTGGCCTATGTGCGCTTTTATTCGAAACCTAAATGTTTCGGTACCGACTATCGAGAGCATTGGATACTTTGTAAATCGGTACCGAATATCGATCAATACTTAAAAGTATTGACTCAGCACATCACTACCGCTGTCATCTCGACTGTGACGTCAGCAAAACAGCTGATTCTGTCAAATTTACTGAGAGCCCGTTAGCGGTGTTGCCATCGGCGCCACCTTCTGTATTCTCTCCACCCTGGCTTTCACGCATACATGAGCATACTCTATGAATCAATGATGCCGACGATTATGGTTTTGGTGTGATCGTGTTCAATCGATGCGAAACTTTCAAGCAATCAAGTCGCTGCAAGACACGGTAAAATGTTTAATATGGATTTGGATGTAGATTTTTTACTCACTAGTAATGGGAAGAGAGGGCACAATGTTTGGTGTGTCATGAAGAAATCGCACGGGCGACAAACTTTTTTGTTAAGCGCCATTATAGCGCCATTTCGCCTTATCCCCAAATATTGAATTAGTAAATTATTACGTACATATGCACATAAATAAAAAGATGAATTTAAAATAATACTAAAAGTCCCTTTTCTTTTGATTCAGAATAAGAAGATTAATACAAATTAATGGAACTATTTGATTTAATTTACATTTTAATTATAATAAAATATCTAACCCAGCAATGAAGGTCAATTAAACCTTATAAAAAATTAATTCTTTAATATAGTCTCTACCTTTCACACTAGTTACATAATAAAAAAATCCCTTTTCTTATAACTTGCAACATGAAATCGATGACAACACTGTTTTCATCAGACGCGTGAGCGACCTTTTCTCTTCATTCTCACATCGTTTGGCAAAATTGAAATATATCATTGTGTGAGTTAAGGCGAAATTAGTCAACGACGTAGCGTAAACGTACGTTGACGCTGACACGATCTACTTTATGGGATTTGCGTGTTAACGAAAACTCACCACCGCATGACGGTGACGAACTCACGAACTGTTCAAATTCTGCACAGCTTTATCTAAATTGCAAACTTTTTATAAAAATGTCTAGTAAAAAATTTTAGGTTTTATGTTGATTTTTGGTAATTTTTTAAGGATCTTCTATACAAAGTATGTGGGAAAATTTGGAAGAAAATAAGTAATTTCCTAAACCAAAACATTATTTAAAGTCAACGCGATAAAGGCGAAATTAGAAAAATTTTAATAAACTGGTTTAAAGTTTAGACAAGTCGTGAGCCTTATCATGTTTTGGAAAAAATGGCATACTCAGAGTTTTGAATTGATACTCAAAATCTTGGCTTAATGTTGAGCTAGGTTGGAGCTTACCCTAGGCCTAAACTTCATATATTTGTACACGTATACCTATGCAAAACAATATGAGCACGATATTTCACTATTTTTCTTTTGTTGGTTTAGTGTTCATTAATTTTATAAAGTTATAGCTCTTTATATAACAACAACTTTATAAATCCAACTTTAAAACTTTGTACGAAAATTAGAAAAAAAAATCTACTAATGTCAACAAAATTGCATCAAAGTATCAAATATTTTAATCAGAACTAAAAATAAATTTTGGTCCATTAACCATTTCATGGTAATTCAAAATATTCAAAATTACTCCTGAATCTTACAATATCTTTATCAACTCCAGTTATATATCATCCAGTTAGTATATTTAAAAATACTACTCACTGCCAAGGCCGTCAAGAGAAAACTCAGGCCCCGGACTGAAAAATCACGGGCCCCTATACATAAATTGTATTAACTTAAATTTTAAGTCTTAAAAGCATGTGATCATTTGCTTTAATGTATAGTGTCAGAAGCAATCAGCACGAATTGTAATATATTTATAATAAAAACCTATAACGAAGGCGCAATTACATTATAAAAAATAATAAGAAGTTATGGTTCCGATATTTCAGGCCCCTTAAAAAGCCCGGGTCCGGGGGGATTTCCCCCTTCTTCTCGACGGGCCTGTTCACTGCTAATTAATGCAACACAGAATACTTTTCTGTACTACTGTCCAAAAACGACTGTTGTTAAAAATATATTATTTATAGGTTCATATACGCAAATCACTTATCATGAAATGCTTCCCTATTTGTTACACATTTGCGAATAAAATGAGCGAAACATAATGAATTTCCCTGCAAGTATACTATGCAGCTCGTAACCAGGGTTCGGATTTGCCTCATTTTAGCCCCTCGCTCGCTCGTTAGTTTGCTCTGAGCTAGCGCAACTCACGAGCAACAAGCGAGGATGTTTGCAAACGAGTACTCGTTAAGTTCGAGCGCACGCGCTGAGCAGCTAGCGAGCGAGTAAGCAAACGAGGGCAGCGCAAGAGTAGAGCGGCAAGCAAATGAGGACCTCATTAGCTCTGCCCTCGCGAGGGCGTCGTTGCGAGCGAGGCACTCATTTGCAGCAGCAGACGAGCGAGGCAAATGAGGCAAGCAGATTAGACAGGCAAACGCGTTGTTTGGTCGGCAAAAATGTATGGGATAAAATTTGCAGCAACTAAGAATTTCGAGTAAAGGATTGTATGCACGCATGCAGATATGTATATACATACATATGTATATACACTAGGGATGTAAATTTTCGGAATTTTGTCGATCCCGGGATTTTCGGGATCTGAAAATACAATCCCGGGATCCCGGGATTGTCCCGAAATTCCGGCAGTTTTATTAAAACGTTGTTGCAAACGCGTAAAGCGCAACCAGTGATCGGACTTAAAAAAAATTTGTGTGGTAGAATCTAGAAAAAAATGTGGTAGATTTCAAAGAAATGTGGTAGATCTCGGGTTCTGGATCAAACTTTGTACAAAAATTTAAAAATTCTGCAAGGTTTCACCAAAATTGCAAACATTTTAATTAGAATCTA